TTATTAAGTCGGTCGGCTCTTTGGCTAAGTCGATACAAACGCTTCGTAATGCCTGGTTCGATCCCAGCTGCGGGCCATGTGCCTTGCGTTGGTTTCGACACTGGTATCAAGAAAGCCGACCGTTCATATGGGAATGGCAAACTACTGGACGTAAATTTGCCTAGAAAAACCACACAACAGCCAGGAGCTGTTGGGGTTGGTTCTGCAACGTCCTGTACAGTATACGCAACCTATTTAGTCGAGGTTTCGACATGACCGCAGCCGAGGCTCCCCATCCTGTGACAATGGAGATAACACAACGTATCTTTTATTGCACATGAAAACCAGGGAAACACTACTTATCCCTCCCCTTTTGGGGTGCAGTTTTTCGGTAATTTGAAGACCCACCATAGCTTCTGTCAGGGGCCGCAATATAGCCCGGCCATAAATATGGTCTAATTGGTAAACGCGGTTTCTGGGACCTCTTCACGGGTGATCCTCATCCACATGGTGGCACTTTGTGTCATCGGGTGTTTATCGCTTGTGTGATGTCTTGGTGGGGTAGAACAAGATAGATTGATAGTAAAACAATTCGCATCCCCAGCAAAAATACTGAATCTTGCACAGACAAAGTGAACATGTTCAAGCCAGATGTGCCAACAATGGCATTCCCACTCGCGAACTGTAGCTCATTATTTGCGCAAATGGTCGGTCAGTCACGAAAACCGGCATTTTCCCCGTAAATGTACATGCTATTCTGAACGCAGTCGGCCACCCGGTCGCCATTTTAGTGCAGTCAAAGACACGCCGCGGGCACTCACACACACACACACACACACACATACACACACAAACAATATACACGCAAACCACAATTGACAGTGTTGCAACAAGCACTGAGCTCAGTACCTGGGTGACAGACCCTTTGTACTGACGGTACAGAAATGGAGAATTTGCTCAGCGAAACCTAGCTGGAAACAATGTTTCAGAGCCAGCCTTATACTATTTTGGCTGAAAGTCTACATATTTTCAAATAGGACACAACAGTTGTTTAGGGGGCCGCGTTAGAGCAGTCGATGAGAGGCTCGCTTTCAAATCCAGCTGCGACTCGCTGCAGCCCACAGTCGGTGTTCGAAACCGGGCGGCTCCCGGGGTTTCACCCAGCCTCTAGGAAATGGGTACCAGAGTTGACACTCTGGGGTAAATGGAGGAACGTCGCTGTAGCTACAGAGTTACGTAAAATCGTCGGTTCACGTCCCGACAAAGCAATTTTTTCCCCTAAAAACTTACCATGACTCCCATTTCGACCCATTCTAAAGTGGGTATAGGTTGCAGTCATGGGAAATAAAAGCAGCCGGCGTGATGCTGATCACATCACCCACCTATGTTACCAGTTTGCCTTAAGGCATGGAAAGTCGACGTTTTTAGTTTTCATTGTACATCTGACATGACCTTAAGTGCTCCGACCTCCTCCTGAGCATCGTGTAAGTGTGTTGTCTTTAGTCTATCAACTCCCACTATGATGTAATGACTGTTGGCTTCCTCATGACTTTCCTGTCTCGCTGCTCGACTTAGTACACCCAGGGTATACAGCCTGTTCAATAAAAAGCCATTTTTAACCAAAACCGAACAGCCTTACACCTTTTAATCTCTCTTACGGTACGGTTGTCAACAGATGTCCCGTTTTTAATAGTCTCACCGCCAGCCAAGGCATCTGCTTACTCATTACCTTGCATACCAGCATGCTATGAAACCAAAATGAAGACGATGTTGTTAATCGCCGCGTGCTGTATGAGATGGACCCACGATTTCTGTATAAGACAGCAGTGATACAGTCAGTTTCAGAGGTTGTGCCCTACTTCAAAAATATGTTAATCAGTAACCGTTCGGTGTCAGTTGTTGAAATTTAAAATGGGTACCAGGATGGCTGTCCTGGGGAAGTAAAGACAGCCGGCATAATACTGACCACATTACCCTACTAGTACCGGTGGTGTGTAAAAATATGGGCTATCTTCCTATTTACCCGATCCGATACTTGTTTTTTTTTATTTTTTATTTTTTATTTGTTTTTGGTTGAAATTTGGCGTGCATGTTAATAATCGTGTCATTGTAAGATACTTTTTTTAAAAAAATACATGTAAATAAACACTGGTAAAAGTTATGTTTCGCTCCCCAATACGCCCATTTCTGATTGGCAGACCTTGAGCCACGTGACCTGGGCACAAGGTTACGTGGGTATTTCGCGATGCCGTTAATATCGCGTGTTGTATATTTCAGTAAACCTGAGCTTTTATCACTAAACAAAAAAAAACAAAAAAAAAAATTTAAAAACTGGGTCTAGCGCAGCACCCCTAGAGAGTGCTGCCACCTATGTTACAGGCATTCTCTTTCTCTGAATAAAAACGTTAATGCAAGACAACCCAGAAAGGAAATAACAGAGCGGCACACCCGTAACCTGCAGGAAAGTAGACCAGCCCAACAAATGTGTGAAGCAAACGTGACCTACTTTGCTAGAGAAGACTGACTTAAATCTTACCCAAATATCCATCGTTCGTTTTGCCTTTTTAGCAGAAAGAAAAAAAAAACTAATTCAAAGCAAACAATCAGTAGGTTTACAGTCACTAGCCTAAACCGAGTAAGGAGAGCTTTTTACAACATAGAATTGCATGCGTGTCGTAGGCGTTTCACTCGCAGGTGGTCATCTACAACATAGGTCTCCCGTGAGTTGCGGATGTTTCATTGAATGAGGTATAGGCTATGAAAATATTCGCCACGCATCGCTGCATATGTGAGCTGACTTCCAAAAAATCTCCACACGTGTGTCAGTTACTGTGTATTCTAATTTGCAGCAGTACATACATTATTAGCCAAACATGGATTAAAGACATTAGCCTCTTTAGGAAAACAGCAGCACCTGTGCAATCGTAAATTATAGAATGGCAAGGACATGTGAAATTTAAGGCTACATGCAAACATTCGTGTTGCTTGGTAAAGGAGTTTTCGAGATGTTCGTTAAAATTTGAGGGCATAAGTTTTAAAACTCACTGTGGCAGGAGATCGCGGATTGTGGAGAAGCATGATCGCCCCCGCCAGTCGGCAAGGCACTTGATGTTGATGATGATAGCAGTGGAAATTTTAAAAGCTATTTTTGTGACTTGAGATTGAAACGGTGTCCAGCGACTTTGCGAAACCGAGCACTGAATGGCGTCTTGTCCGTGTTTCATGAAGTACCGTTTGGTTTGTCCTCTGTCCACAGACTGTCCAGATGGCCAGCAAGCCACGCAGAAAGAGCCTAAGAGACAGAATATGGGCTATCTTCGGGATCCGACGAAAGCCACGGGTGATCAGTCTCTTCACCGAGGACCTGCCGCAGGGCCACATGCAATGGGTGAGAGGCAAGAGGCAGCTTTCTTAAAAATGTGTTATTTTTTCTGCTGGGGTTACTGTAGATTGTTTCTGTAATTGTTGCTATTGTTATTTGTCTCATGAAACTATTTGAGGTTCAAAGTTTTGAACAACGGATCAACATCATGGCACACGGGTAGTAACCCATAAGTGCTCTGGTTTTCTTCTAACTCAAGTCTGAGTCCGAAGAAGCTCAGCACAGTGCACTGTGAGCTGCGTTTGTTTTTCGTTGGCACAGGAGCGGAGCATATGTGGGGTGACCCGTTTGCTATGAAGCTGAAACTAGGATTACCAGATTACCAGATTACAGTGCACAAGCTCTGTAACACCGGCGAGGATCCTGAAATACTTTGGGTAGATTTTTTATTCCCAATTTTGTCCGGGCAGCGCCGTTAGGCTACTCTTTTCGATTTCCAACTGCCAAGGGATTTTTTTACTTGCACAACAATGCACACAGGCGTCCGATCTTACTACTCAGAGACCAGGGGGGAATTACTAGAAGTCCAAGTCCACGTGAAAAAATCCCTGTCCTTACTGGGGATTGAACCCGAAACCTCTAGCACTTGAGGCGGGCATCATGCCTGGAGACCACGCGGCCTCCCTGATGAAACTATTTAAAATCATATAGCAGGACATGGTTCAGAACACGGTGGCTCTCAGGAAGGCAAATCTGCCAATCATCCACACACCACCCAAGAAACAGCAGATCTCCTGCAAATGTCACTTAAACTGCATGCTAGACCAGAGACTTTCAAAAAGAATACATTTTAATGCGAACTCCAGCGCGGGAAACGATACCAGCGTGGACGTTACAAGGCCACTCTTAAAGCAGCTCTCGAATCATTTGGCATCCAGACGAAAAACACGAGCGAGAGGAGGTTGCCCTGGTCCGATCTGAATGGTTTACAGTCCCCAAAGATGGTGCATCAGCCTGCCACGCAGCGGAGGTTGCACTGCAACACTTCTTCTTTTTCTTCGCGTTCACCAGCTGTAAATTCTTCCGCAGTGTTCTGGTTGTTCGTCCACTTCTGGACTGCAGTCGTGTTTCAGAACTTGAGTGTTGCGTATGCATCCGTTTCACAGATCCGACTCATTTGTACGCAGCCTGCTCGTTCCTTTCCTCTCAGGCAGATGCAATCCGACTTCGAAGGAAGCTCCCAAATTGTCGACTCTTACGACATGATTTTGGGTAGGCAGTGGGTCTTTTCTTGTTTTTCTCACAATAGAGCCTCGGAACCCACACCGGGGAGCACTGGAATAGAACTGAAGCAATCTAGAAAGATCTGTGTGATAAATCCAACCTCAGCTGTCACTTTAATCTGTTAGCTCTACTGCTCAAGAACTTTCTCGTGTACTTTTAATCAACTCTGACACAGATGGTCTTTTATGCCATGATGAAACACTGTCCAGCATCTTGTATCACTCTGTCTCCATCTGCTTCTCTTCTCTTCCCTTCCGACTTTCCCACTATCACAATGTACTTCTTATCATGACATGTACTCTAGTGCACAATCTGCAAACTTGTATTTGTCTCCCAACAGATGGAAGAAGTCCTATACCTCAGTTACGTCAAATCTCTAAACTAAATCTGTTCAACTGTATTTGTCTCTCAACAGATGCAAGAGCCACAGTACCTCAGCTACGTCCAATCTCTAGACTCCCACCTACAACCAGACTCCACCCCGCCAACATCAAAGGACAGCAAAGAACATAGTCAACAGGCCAACAACGCCAGCAGCTCAACCTTAAACAATCTACCGAAATCTTCTTCGTTCCTGTCCTTAGATCACTGGACATCCACGGCCATATCTCCCTTGGAGCTCTTCTACTGTGCAACTGTAGCTCCTTACGATGTGGACCATCCTTTGGAGAGCCAAATGTGTTCTATGGATCGTCCTGGACGTACGACTAGCAATAGGAGGAAGGATGAATCCACTTTCCCAGTTCGGAATACAAAATCGGATCTAGACTGCGCCTCCAGATTTGAAACCCATTTCGATGGTTCAGGGATGCCCTTTCTTGATCTTCCGGATGAGAAGCCACTGATCCGTCAGGGTTTATTTCTTGAAAGTGGGGAAAACTGCGTTAGGGGATCAATGAATAACACCAAACGGAAGGCAGGTGCAAACTACAAGGTGCCAGTTACCAAAGAAAGACTTCATGGCTTCAGGCAGGAAACCAAGGAAATCCTAAATAACCTTGGAGAGGCAGAGATAGGAAACACAACGGAATCGGAAAATAACGAAGGCGCATCAGCGAAGAATGACTGTCATGGAAGCAACGCTCGCAACGAACGGAATCAGGACTCAGATGTTTCCATCAGGTTCTGTGACAATAAAGTGGCTCTCAATATCAAAAGATCTTGTAAAAATATAGTTATTCGTTATGAAAATAAAACTCAGTGTAAAAGTATACCTACTGACTGCAGCAACCGGGTCAGAATAAATCTAGGAAAGAAAGAAGATGTCGCACGGCCCTCAAAAAATAAAGTAAATGTGAATATTGTAGGAGATTGTGTCATCGTTACCTTCCACGGGGACACAGAAGAAATATTTCCAAGTGACAAATCACAGAATGGCAGCTATTTAAAATCTTCAAAGGACTTTGAAGCGTCAACAGTTAGCAATGAAGAACGCACTGATCAGGGACTGACCATGATAAAGGATCGTATGTGTGCGTCTTGCCTAAGTACAAACAAAGAAGTGCAGACAGACATCGGTGATTCACAACACACAAGAAATATACCAGTTGTCTTAGCACCTTCGCATGTCCTAACTGCAGCTACAAACCCCACAGATGTTACTGAAAATAGCCAAATAGCTTCTCAGCATGGTTGTTTGGAAAAGGCTGATGTGGGAAATGAAGCTTCCAATGCTTGTACCGATTGTGGGAGTCTTGGTGGAGAAGCCAACGCGAAGATCACTCTTGATTTCCCTCAGTTTGAGTATAACTCTGGCAATACACATAATGATGTTGTTGTCAATGAACACTCTGATGGTTTGTCTGAAGGATCTTATGAAGTTGTTACTGGAGGCTGCGAGAATGACGTTGATATCTCGCAGTGCTGTGTAAGATTACCACCTGAAGGTGCCAGTGCCCATGCTACAACAGACGATAGTAGGCTTCATGTTGACTGCAGTGAGGATGTTATGAAACTTAAAGATCTGCTGGCATCTATTAGCCACGATTCAAACACTGATATAGGCACGGACAATCTAAGGGGCATCCAAGGCGAAAGAGGTCAGTACAGACAACTTTCTTTTGGAGTTTGCTTATTCTGCCTCAGTCTCCTTCTCCCCTCCTTCTCCTTGCTCCCCTCCTTCTCCTCTTTCATCGTCCTTCTCATTATACATCATCATCATCATCACCATCATCATCATCATCATCATCATCATCATCATCATCATCATCTTCTTCTTCTTCTTCTTCTTCTTCTTCTTCTTCTTTTTCTTCTTCTTCTTTTTCTCCCCCTCTTCCTTCTCCACTCCGTCACCTCCTCCACCCTCCTCTTCCTCCATCGTCCTTCTTCTTCTCCGTCACATTATTTCTTTTTGTTCTTCTTTTTCTCGCCCTCCTCCTCCTTCTCCTCCTCCAGTTCTTATCTCTCTCCTCATCATTCTCTTTTCCTACTCCTTTCCCCTCATGGGCCTTTCCAGTCCTACATAGATCCTCAACTACTGAATACAGACAGTAAATACAGACAGTAAATACAGACAGTAAATACAGACAGTAAATACAGACAGTAAATACAGACAGTAAATACAGACAGTAAATACAGACAGTAAATACAGACAGTAAATACAGACAGTAAATACAGACAGTAAATATAGACAGTAAATACAGACAGTAAATACAGACAGTAAATACAGACAGTAAATACAGACAGTAAATACAGACAGTAAATACAGACAGTAAATACAGACAGTAAATACAGACAGTAAATATAGACAGTAAATACAGACAGTAAATATAGACAGTAAATATAGACAGTAAATACAGACAGTAAATACAGACAGTAAATATAGACAGTAAAGGCAGACAGCAGAGACAATCAGTAAAGACAGACAGCAGAGACAATCAGTAAAGACAGACAGCAGAGTTAGACACCCGTCAGTAAAGACAGGTACTAGCATAGAGAAAATCCAGTAAAAGACAGATAGCAGAGACAATCAGTAAAGACAGACAGCAGAGACAATCAGTAAAGACAGACAGCAGAGAAAATCAGTAAAGACAGACAGCAGAGAAAATCAGTAAAGGCAGACAGCAGAGAAAATCAGTAAAGACAGACAGCAGAGACAATCAGTAAAGACAGACAGCAGAGACAATCTGTAAAGACAGACAGCAGAGACAATCAGTAAAGACAGACAGCAGAGACAATCAGTAAAGACAGACAGCAGAGACAATCAGTAAAGACAGACAGCAGAGACAATCAGTAAAGACAGACAGCAGAGACAATAAGTAAAGACAGACAGCAGAGACAATCAGTAAAGAGAGACAGCAGAGACAATCAGTAAAGACAGACAGCAGAGACAATCAGTAAAGACAGACAGCAGAGACAATCAGTAAAGACAGACAACAAAGACAGACAGCAAGGACAGACAGTAATGACAGTCAGCAAATATAGCTAATAATGCAGACAGTAAATAGAGACAGACAGTAAAGACAGTAAATAGAGACAGGCAGTAATCACTGACAGTTAGTAAACATAGTACAGGAAGCCAGTAAAGACATTTGTCCCTCCAGACGTCTCGGTGGTAAGGTGGTCAGTCCAGTTGCCTCTTCCTTTGAGCGTTGTGGGTTTGTTTCGCAGACGCCCCATTCGTTCCTTGGCTGCAGTTTTCAACTGAGATCACTGGGGATCGAGACTGGAGCTATGAAATGCATGCTTTTTCACGGCCGTCGGTTATGAGTTCTGGAGAAAGAGAGATAGAGGATGTGATGTAATCTCTTGTATTGGGGTCGATGCTCTGGATTTAAACACTTCAAGCAGTGAAAGACTAAGTTGTTGACTTCTTATTTGCTATTTGTATCAAAATCTAGCATTTGGGATCAACGGTACCATTCGTGCTCCCTCCTCTGATGCAACAGCCAGCTCGGTGTCACCTCTATGATCAACATCATCAGCAGGGATTGATTGACATATCGTATTTCAGAACATTATCACGAGTTACCGTCACGACGATACTTCCTTCCCCTCTAATTTATGCCGCGGCCGGTCGCACAGCCTGATCAATGTTGTTTTTAGGGGGTGGGGCGGGCGGGCGGGGGGGGGGGTGGTATGAAATAGGTTAGTTCGGCGTTCAGTCACCGAATAAAATGTTTGTAGGAGGTTGTGATGTCGTCAGTCTCTTTGAGGTACCGCATGGCAGCGCCTATTGCAAGAAATAAAAGTAAGTAAGTGCCAAAAAAAGAAAAAGTGCAAAAAAAGCGGCAACTGTTCGTCTGTGAGGTCAAACCTATGGATTTGTTTGTTTGTTGCCCTTGTTGTGTTTTTTGTTTTTTTTTTTTTTTCAATTTCTACGTTTATTGGCTGAAATAATCAAGCAAGTCAGCGGTGACAACACGAGAAAAGAGACAGCGGTTAAGCCGTTGAAAATAAGGAATACATGTCACTCCCACAATATAGGACAGCCATGTGACCCCCCGCACCATGATTGGGAGGGGAAGCAACTCTCGCGGTGCTGGCAAGTTCGTGATAAGTACCCTTATTTCTTTTCCACCCCAACCGATTTCTCCATGCTTGGCCTCGTTTCATACCCATTTTCAAAAAGGCTGTTCATCATATCTGATTCCGTTCTTTCAACTTCTTTGGAACGTCACGCACTTGATAAGTCTGCCCCTGCACATAGTTCTTCCTCCACTAACACTGCAGATATGGTTAAAGAAGCACACTCCGGCAATTGTCAGGGGCCATAATATGACTCAACGTTTGGGTTTAATGGTGTTTCTGTGACTTCTACTCGGGTTATCCGAATGAGGATGGCGACACTTCGTGTCATTTTTTTGTTGGTTACTAGTTGTAAAGTCCTGGTGGGGTTGGCCTCAGGCCACCTGTGGGTTAATGTTTTTTCTGTTCACAGAACTCGTTGGGTATCACAATAGACTAAACGATGATTTGGAAAAGAAAGAGGAAATGAGCAAGGACTTTGGAGTCAAGAATAACATATGCTTCGTTGATGAGACCGGTTTGGTCGATGTTTTCTTTCTTATGAAGACACATCACCTGAATAATTCATTTGGTATCCAGGAAGAGTCTGGCTGTTGGTATGTTTGCGTGTATGTGTGTCTGTTTTTTGAGCCAACTGTCGATGTATCCATTCATTGATATGTGCAGCGTAGTGTCTTTCACAGGTGTCTATTTTTTCTGACATTTGGGGTGAGGGGAGGGGGCAAGTGGCTCAAAGATTCTAGCCTTCCGTCCCCCTCCACCGGCACCCTCCTTCCGCCTCCGATGTTAACGCTTCTGATGTGTCTGCCTCCTTGTAACATAGCTCCCTCTCCTTTGTGTATGCTGATGTCTCACTCAAGGTTCGACTTTTATTTGTTACTGGAGGAGTCAACTGGAAGAAAAATAGATGAGGAGGAAGATGTTCGTGTCGGTAGTGGTGATGATGATAGGGCCTTGCTTGTTGCATGCTTCTCAGGTTACTGAAGCTTGTATAATAAAATGTCTTGAAACAAATTTTCTTTTGTATTTACTGTCTTAATTGTGATACCTCAATAATGTGACGAATAACAAAAGTGTTATTTTCAATGGCTGGTGATTTCTCTCTGTAGTTATATAGTGTTAGTGTTGCGTTGTGTTCTTCATCTTTAGTTTACTTGTTAAATGATTCAAGTGTCTGTACCTGCCGCTTGGCTTCTAGTGCTGTCTGATACTAACAGTTTGATCTTCATCTCTTACATCTCAGTAATGTTTCTATCTAATGTATCTCTGTTGACCATTGATCCATGTATGATATCTGTTGTTTCTGCAGCTCAATATTTCGTTTCATGTCTTTTCCCTAGAATATGTCTTAAAGGCTCAATGTGACTGGTTCCTCGCCTTCCTGTCTGCCAGGGTCTATTATGTAGGTGTGTGTGTGTGTGTGTGTGTGTGATTGTTAGTGTGTGTGTATGTATGTGGATATATGTATGTACTTTTAGGTTTGTAAGTAGGTGTGTGTTGTATGTACGTATGTTGTAAGTATGTGGGCGTATATATATGTGGGTGTATGTGTGATTGTATATGAGTGTATGTGTGATTATGGGTGTGTGTGTGTATTATGTATACAAGTGTGTATGTATGTATGCCTGTTTGAATGTATGTATGTGGGTGTCTGTGTGTGTGATTGTATATGTCTGTATGCATGCATGTATTTGTGTAAGTATGCATGATTGGTGGATGTATGTATGCATATGTAGCTGTGTAAGTATGTGGGTGTATGTGTGTGTGTGTATTTAAATATGTATGCAATTATGTATGTGTGCAAGTATATGAGTGTATGTATGCATGTATGTGTGTATGTGTGTGTGCATATATGTCTGTGTACGTAGGTGTGTGCCATTTATGTTTGTGTATGTATGTATGCATGTATGTATACATGTGTGTTCATGTATGTATGGATGTATGTGTGTTTTATGTATGCATGTAGATGTAGCCTATGTATGTATTTATACATGTAGATGTATGTATATGTGCGTATATGTATGTATGTATCAGGTTTGTCTGTATACATATGAGAATGAATCTATGTAAATGTAGCTGTGTAAGTATGTGTATGTGTGTGTGTGTATTTATGCATGTATGTGGATGTATGCAGGTATATGTAGCTGTATAGGTATGTGGTGTGTGTGTTTTTTTTTAATGTAGGTATGTGTGTGAGTATGTGGGTATGTATTATGGATGTGTATGTATAAAAGTAACTATGTGTGTGTGTGTATGTATGTATGTAATATATGGGCATGTGTATGATTGTGGGTATATGTGTATGTGGATATGTGAAGGTATATTAGGTTTGTAAGTATTTGTCTATATTTATTTATGTATGTGGAAAGTATGTGTGATGCAGGTATGCATGTGATGTATGTATGTGGGTATCTGTATGGGTGATTGTATATATGCGTATGCATGCATGTGTGTCTATTTAGGTATGTATGTATGTATGCATGCATGTATGTGTATTTAGGTAAGTATGAAAGTATGTATGTGTGTGTGTAAGTATGTGAGTGTATGTATGGATGTGTGATGTAAGAAAGTA